CAGTCTGAAATACCACTTGATGGCCAAGCACACACACAGCTGATGCGAATTCTCCGCCCCCTCGTCAATATCAGGACCTCGTCAGTATTTCTTTCACCCTTTTATTGATGGACAGTGTTACATTGTGTGAGAGATTATTTGCTCCAAGTGAAAATGTTTTAGTGTGAAATTGAACACAGTATTGTCAATGTTGTTTTCAATCAAAAACATTTGCACAAAGCAAGCCGATCCACTTTTTCATGTTGATAAGAGCATTAAAATTAGAAAAAAGAATGGGACAAAAAGAAATCAAGAGACATTTAGAATAGATAAAAATGTGCGATTAATTGCGATTAATCGCGAGTTAACTATGACATTATTGCGATTAATCGCGATTAAATATTTTAATCGTTTGACAGCACTAACATATACATATATACACTCACCTAAAGGATTATTAGGAACACCATACTAATACTGTGTTTATACTTATACTTAATTCTACGTGGCATTGATGTATGAAGCTAAATTAGTAGCAAAACTCGAGAGCACGTAGATGTGAATTTGAAAACTTGTACAATAAATATTCGTACGTGTATGTGAACATTTACCCTCACAGCTCCAATGTGAAAACCTGTAATATAAAAATCTGAACTTGAACGCTGAGATTTGCACTCGCAGACAATAGTCACAAACCTGTATTCTGAATTTGAAGCTGCAGACAAGTAGTCACAAATGTGTAAAATGCCATTCACAGAAATACAACAACAGACACAAACTTGTAATACAAATTTGCACTTCTTCTAACATTCAAATTCGCAGTACAACCTCAAATTGGCACTTGCAACTTCTCAAATCTGTCACTGCAAGTTCAAATTTCACGCCTTGACTTTTGCTACTCTTTTCGCGATATATGAGGTGCAAAACTGATTTGTGCACTTGCAACTCAGTAGTGGCGAGAGAGAAAAGGGGGCGGGAGCGGGGGTGTTCAAAGAAGCCGTTTTATTGGTTGCCGCCTAGCCAATGAAATGGGACTTCTATTGTACGCGATGATGTCACGAAACCCGGCTCCTCGTGGATGATATAGTCTACTGGGAGCCTAGAGCTCTATGACATAAGACATCAACTGCATACTTCCTCGTGGAGATATAGTCTACTGGCAATACTTTGATTCTGTTGTTGCCGGTGTCTTTTTGAACATTTCACATTCATTAATCATGTGCTCATGTGCAAAATGTGAATGTGTGCTGTAGATGTGAATGGGGGTGGCAGAAATCAGCAGTTATATACTGTATGCATGGAGTGGCATACTTTTTCAGTAATTGCACTCTGTCACTCTCTGTTTCTCTCCATTCATGGTCTCTGTAGATCAACTCTGCTTGATGTAACCATTAATTGTTGTGGGGAATCGGGACATACATAGTTTTCTTATCGGCTCAGAAAGGCAACATTTATGTAATCAGTGTTGTTTTTTTCTTGAGTCCTGCTATCCAGTTTGTCTCACTTCAACACTCTAGCTTTTATTCTAACCTCTTATTACAGTGAAAATCATCTTATGATGCAGGGTGCCAGCTTGTGTGTGACACGTGACAACAGATTACTGTGTTATCAGTTAAGAGTGTTGGGCAGGGTCATGACTGCTTTGTTTCAACAGTGTAAACAAAAACATATGACATTTCTGAATGTCACACTCAGTCTTGCCTCATCCTCAGGGTTCGTTCTTCGTACCTCGCTTAATACATCTAAGATGACTTGACAGATGCCAGCTCTTCTAATAACTGATAACTGATCTCTGGCTAATTTGGTTCTTTAAATAAATTTGCGGATTTGAATAAAATATCTGTATTAAATTGTCTGAGATTACTGTACTTTCATGTGTTCATTGGAAAGGGCAGATACTGTATATTGATACTCGAAAACATGTTCAGCAATGCAGCGATTTGCTGAAGTACTGACATCATATTAAAAAAGAATGTCACAAACCTGACACAAAACGTATATATTTCATTATAATAGTTAAATGAAATTCATTGTTTGTTGAATCCCATTATGTCACGATTTATAGTATTTGTACAGGCTTTACATTTTTATTTCAAATTTGTAATTAGCATTTAATTTTACCTGTGAATCAGATTTTTTACATGACAGCATTATTTATTTTCTTAAGAGACAAGAACATTTTTCTAGTCAAGTCAAGTCACCTTTATTTATAGATTGCTTTTTACAATACAGATTGTTTCAAAGCAGCTTTACAGAGATAACAGGAAAATAATGCAACAAAGTTTGTTTCTAGAAGAAAATCGCGTCATAGTCCAGCATAAGTAAATTCAGTGATGGTTCATTTTTGTTTAAAAAAAGTAATTGAGTTAATTTATATATATATAGTAAAAAAGTAATTGAGTTAATTTATATATATATATAGCCGTTTCTGGATAAAACCGTTCTAATGGCAAAGCAGACAGCACTTTTTTTTCCAAAGTTATCTGCTTCTCCTTCGCTGCATCAAGCCAGTCGCATAATTGCTGCAATATATCATGTCTATAAGACTCCAATAAGATCATAAGATAATGATTCCCTTACAAATAAATCTCTCAATGAGTAAAATGGTCTGTGTCTTTATTATTGTAACGGTCACCAGCTGGAGTGCCCTTGAGAGCCACCAGAGGGCACTCCACATCAGACTATTGTCATTCCCTCAACAACACTTTACAATCCACACTAATCCGTGATGGTCCTCGATGGTCACTCATTCAGTTTCTAGATTATGCCCTTCATTTGACTGGTTCCTCCTTGACTGTTGGGGAGGTTGAGGAGGACTCTTCCTCTAAACTTGCTGTTGACCACAGTCAACAGCATGCCCAGGTCTGCCGAGCCTGAGCTTCTTCACGTCATGCCTGCTGAGCCTGAGCTTCTTCACGTCATGCCTGCTGAGCCTGAGCTTCTTCACGTCATGCCTGCTGAGCCTGAGATTCTTCACGTCATGCCTGCTGAGCCTGTGCTTCTTCACGTCATGGCTGCCGAGCCTGAGCTTCTTCACGTCATGCCTGCCGAGCCTGAGCTTCTTCACGTCATGCCTGCCGAGCCTGAGCTTCTTCACGTCATGCCTGCTGAGCCTGAGCTTCTTCACGTCATGCCTGCCGAGCCTGAGCTTCTTCACGTCATGCCTGCTGAGCCTGAGCTTCTTCACGTCATGCCTGCCGAGCCTGAGCTTCTTCACGTCATGCCTGCCGAGCCTGAGCTTCTTCACGTCATGCCTGCTGAGCCTGAGCTTCTTCACGTCATGCCTGCCGAGCCTGAGCTTCTTCACGTCATGCCTGCCGAGCCTGAGCTTCTTCACGTCATGCCTGCTGAGCCTGTGCTTCTTCACGTCATGGCTGCCGAGCCTGAGCTTCTTCACGTCATGCCTGCCGAGCCTGAGCTTCTTCACGTCATGCCTGCTGAGCCTGTGCTTCTTCACGTCATGGCTGCCGAGCCTGAGCTTCTTCACGTCATGCCTGCCGAGCCTGAGCTTCTTCACGTCATGCCTGCTGAGCCTGAGCTTCTTCACGTCATGCCTGCCGAGCCTGAGCTTCTTCACGTCATGCCTGCTGAGCCTGAGTTCCACCACAGGCCTTCATTCTGGCTTGACTCGGCGTCATCTGAGCTCTGGCTCCTCCCTTCATCATCTCCACCTAGGGGTTCCCTTTGGTCAGACCTTCCTCAATCACATCTCTCTCTGCCTCCACATCATCCTCTGGAACCCCTAGCATATGCCTATCAAAGCAATGTCATTGCTATAGAAATCAATGCAAATATTCAGAAAAAACGACAACAAAATTGAGTTGTGATACACAGTGTGGACATTAAAAAAATGAGATCAGATTGCAATATGATACACAAATGACCGGATTTGGACTGACAATGTGAACGTGGCCATAGTTGCACTAGATCTATACATGGTAACAGCTGGAGGAACATTCATCTATCCTCAAGCTGCTTCCCAGTGGCCAGTAGCCTTGAAGAGTTGGTGGTTCTTTCTGATTCAGTCCACTTCTCTCTCTCAGTTTTGCTTCCACTCTCTACAATCTAAATAAAAACGTAATAAAAGACACAAGCCTTTGGTGTGAGAGACCCGGGTTCGAATCCACTGTGAGACACCAATGTGTCCCTGAGCAAGACACTTAACCCCTAGTTGCTCCAGAGGCGTGCGACCTCTGACATATATAGCAATTGTAAGTCGCTTTGGATAAAAGCGTCAGCTAAATGAATAAATCTAAATGTAAATGTAATAAAAAAATAAATAAAAAACGTTTCCCAGTGAATTTAGTTGACATAAGGGACATAATGTATATTTTTTTAATTAAACAATGTGAAAATAAGTATACCCTGTAAAAAAAATATTTAGGGTTAGGGTTATATCATTCTGTCTTTCTACTTTCTACATTTAATGCATTACTTGCGGTTTCTTTGTATTCAATTGTGAAATTTGTTTGCAATTTCACTCTTTCTACATTAAATTTATAAACGTAAATGTATGAAAACAGAAAAAACACTGTAAAGAATTCTGAAAGGATGTGAGTTCATTTGGAGTTTGGAACCACAATTATTACAAACCAGCCAGAAAATAATCAAGTGCAGCCTAGAGGCTGATGTAAACTAAGCGAGGGCTTAGATGATGCACACTTTCATTTTCTCAGCTACATCATCTCAGCTGTGTGGATGTTCTCTCCACTCAGACAGAAATGGCAAAGCCCACTGAAGCTGCATGGTATATTGTGATTCATTTAAAAATGAGTAAACACTGACCAACCAACAAGTCAACTACTTTTCTGTGCGACTAGTCAAGTATTAAAAATGATTAGCCATGCAAGCCTTATTGACACACAGAGAGAATGCGAATGAGAGGCCTTAGACGGGTTCACATGTGACAATCACAGACAGTCACACACAAAGAGCAGGATTAGTTACAAGAAGAGGAGGAGGAGAAGAGAGGAGAAAGGAATTGATAGAAACAGTAAGAGGGTGGGGGTGAGCTGAGGAGAGTGAGGGAGACAGTAAAACGGAGAGACTGAATCTTTCATAGTAGGCGTCTCAGATCGCCACCGCTGTGATCTGTGTCTCTCAGTATGTTTCCCACTGCTGCAGTGTAAGTGTTAGCTCGCGCACAATGACTTCTCAACCTCCTCCTGTCACCACATTCTCTCCTATTTTCCTTCCATTCAAAACAAAATTGTTCATTCAAGGCTGATGGCTCACAGGCGTCAGATTTTTCCATAAACTTGCATCGGACATAAGGACCACCACTGAAGTCTCTCTGTAAGGTAGGAATAGCATTTTACATTTTTATAACTGTTCCACGTGCTGAGGTATCAGCACTGTTAAATGCGGGGTTTTGTGTATTTTTATTTTTGCTTTATATGATATATAATTTATTTGAGTGTTTTTCTTTTTTCATAGAATGGTTGAATTATTATTAAAACAAAAAAGGAGTAAAAAAGGGGGCTTTAAAACCCTTTTAAGGCTTTTATCAATATGACAGACTCGCATGTTTTTTTTTTCCTGATCCCATAAACCATTATTTGTAATATTTTAGTAGATATTTTTGGAGAGCACTATTATCATGGAATGTGTTATGTGTTACTTCATTTATTTCATATGTTAAGAAACAGATCAGCTGATTTATGTAACAAACATGTGGCTGTGTTTCCCAACCCTGTTCCTGGAGGCACATCAACAGTTGGATGTCTTCCTTATCTGACCCATCCATTCCAGGTCTCGGAGTCTCTACTAATGAGCAGATGAGATGTGTTTGATTAGGTATAGTTTAAACAGGGTTGGGAAACCATGAGTTACACTGTGTGCTGTGACATGTTTTGATGGTCCACCCATTCTAGTGACGAGAGTATGTAAAGTCTGGCTATAAATACACTAACGGGCCCCTTTACATGTCCTGTGTGCGCATGCAGAGCCTTTACATGTCCTGCTAGTGGTAAATAGTCCATTTTAAGACAAGTGGCTTGGATACATTTGTGAAATAAAAAGTCAAGTTAAGGACTGCAACAAAATATTGAACCTAAGCTGAAAGGGGACACACATTCATAAAGACACAAGTAACCCTTTTGCTCTTAATTACATTGATCTCAGATTCATGTCATACACTTTATTAAATTTCGAGGCATTACCATCATAAACCATTACATGACAATATGTGGTCTGTCTAAGGCTTCAATATTTGTTACCATCATGAAACTCGGTTTTAAATGGCTTATAACATTTAAATTGGTATTGAATTAGTTTAGCCATTTAGTGCAAAATATTATCTCGTTCTTTACCCCCTAAAATGTTGTTCCAAACTTGGTTGACTTCCTTCATGCAACACATAACAACTGTAAACACATTTACAGTGGATAAATCAATCCATACAGCTCATGTCTTCTCAAGTCACGCAAATAAAAAGGCATAATTCATGCCCTTTGCCGTAGCTCTTAAATCTCATTCATGGTTGCATATATTTAAATATCCTGGTTTTCCTGTATACAAATATCTGGTTTTGTGAGATTTGACATCAGTGATGTTTCAATGATTCCCTCCATCATAGAATATCACTGATGTCAAATCTCACAAAACTACTGTAGATATTTGAAAACAGGAAAACCAAGAATTTTATATATATGCAACCATGAATTTGTTCTTTGTACAGAGCTATTGTACAAAAGCTGTACAATATAAATACAGTATATTTATTATCACTATTTGTTGTTGTTGTTCAGTGAAGCGCTTGAAAGCATAAATCACCTTCCACTCTCTTGCTAAAGAACAGTAGGAACAGTTTGGACATTTATTTATAGTTGAGTAAGGGCAGAAACTGATGTGAACTGGAGGGGAACTGCACAGGGAACGACTCACAAAAGCTGGAACAAGGCCGACTCAAAGGTGCATTTCCTACGTGAGCACCATGATAACAGTATGATGCATGTTGTTCACTTTTTGAATGTTGTCGTTTATCCAGTCAGAAGAGAAAGGATTGATTTATGTTAAATTGCCGTGTGCAAAAGCCAGTTCTCTGTCTCCATGCAGAGCTCTCTTCAAGCCATTACAGAAAGTCCTTGAATCGTGTCAAACTTCACCTTATTGATTCCCTTTTGACTGTGCAGTGTGGCTATCCACAGAAAGACTGTCATCATTTTGCTTACTTCCTGTGTTTACTTTTAGATTAGACAAATCATTAGTGGTGTTGCATGGTTATACTATATTTTAGGTTTTCTTTGTTACCGTGTAATTACACAAATAAGTACTGAGCAAACGATAATGATAACGGCACAGAGAAACGATATAATTGACTTTTTTTGATGAACTATAAAAACATTGACAGCCAACCAGAATCAATTCTGCTTTAAAGAGCTCCAACATTGAAAGTGACAGACGGCAAACTTGCAGCGCGCTTGAACGATTTTGTCTGCTGGAGTGGACGCTGATATAGTAATCATTATGGATCTCTTTATAGTTATGGTTCTTGGTGTGAACGGGCTTTAAGATTAATTAACATGTACTGACTCTAGGGTTAGGGTTTGGTTTCAGGTTAGTTGTAATTGTGCATAAGTATTACTGTGGGAAGTACATTTAACGTGTAACAAGGGCATTGTAAAATAATGTGTTGCAGTGTGTTAGCATCACAATTGTTATTGCAATTTGTACAATCCTATAACCAACACTGTTTGTGTTACAAGCGAGAACAATAGCTCAAATCATGAGGTTTGTCTAGGAGAGGTGTTCTTTATTTTTTTCTAAGCAAGCATATTTACAATTTTCATTTAAAAAACATAGACTTGCATTTAAAGTATATACTTGAGCTAGGGACCAGAATACTACTATTGCTCATTTTGCAGCATATATTATTTCTATTGTGCACTAATAAATGCAAAGTATACACCTAGATAACCTATCCAGTCCATTTTCTGTGTGACAAACAAACTGTTTATTTATCATCTATTGTTATTTTTAACAGTCAAATTTCCAAATAAAAAAAGTTATCATAATCCATGCCATAATAATTGTGTATTTCTAAGATAACTACTGGACGCAACTGCCAATGAAATGTAATGAGGTCATGTGTCACAACAAATGTAGAACATAAAATGACATTGATTGCTGCATAAATGACTCACTTACATTTCTACACTACTAAACCTTATGCCAACAAAGTAGCTCTTTAAGGTAACAATAGATTGTTTTACCACTTTTTACAATGTAAAAAAAATTGCACTTTGTACCACAATGTAGTAAGCTAGTATTCTATTCTGAACGCAGACCACATCACTCATCATGTGTGAGCCTTGATCAATCAAAGATAAAGTTGCATGAGTAACGGCCTCTGGAGATGCTGAATGGCTGATGGTTTGGGGTTAGCATTAACAAGGAAAAGGAATGTAATATTCAGCATGGTGTGTGAATGTGTGCCTCTTGCTGACGTACGGAGGAATATGAGAGAGATGGACAGAGCAGGGCGCAAAATGAGATTTGTGTGTCAGATTTTACCCAGGGCGTTCGCTGCTTTGCACAACCGTACCTGTCACTTTGCTTTGATGTCAGTTTGATACAGCAAGAACAAGTCGTTTCCAAACTCTCTCTTTCATGCTAACTAGATCTGTTTCTCTGCTTCTCTTCTCCCTCTGTTTTTCTTTCTGGATTTAATGCTACAGTAAGTTTGAGATACTGAGAAAGGATCAAGTGTGGCACAGAATGCCCACTATCCTGTACACTGTGGCCCCTGAACCATTTTGTTCAAGCCACACACACACATCCACACACACACACACACACACACACACACACACACACACACACACACACACACACACACACACACACGTGAGCTCTGAGGTATTTATATCTTTGGATATAGACAGTGATTAATTCCAGACAGCTCAGAATTTTAGGGCTATTTGTGTGAGCAGGAATTTGAATAACCACATGGATGCATTTAGATGTTAATATGTTGCTTAGATCATCTGTAATCCACAAGTTGTGTGTGTGTGTGTGTGTGTGTGTGTGTGTGTGTGTGTGTGTGTGTGTGTGTGTGTGTGTGTGTGTGTGTGTGTGTGTGTGTGTGTGTGGTTGACTGATGACACACAAACACACATGTGATGTCACTCCCAGCTGTCAGCTAATGTCTTTGCCACTTTGGTATTTTGTCAGTACAAGTGGATTGGTGTGTATGACAAAGTCCATGTGACCTACAAAACAGCATGACAACAATGTTTAAAGGAGCAAACATGCCCACTGTAAAACCCAACAAGTTAAGCTAACTCATTTCATTTGAGGAAACCAATTGCCTCAATTCATTTAAGTTTATAAAAACAATAGTTATGAGTAGTATGAACTTATTTTAATCGAGTTCACTAAAACAATACTATTTCTTAAAACACAATTAAACTTTACACTGCATTTAATACTGTATATAGCTGAAACTTCACTTTAATGAGTAAAAACAGTGAAATGACAAACTTTAAATGAACTCAGAGCATTTGCAGTTACTGCTAGCACACAAAGTCAAATCCAATTAGTTAAGGTAACTCATTTCATTTGAGGAAACCGATTGCCTCAATTCATTTAAGTTTATAAAATAACAATAGTTATGAGTTCTCTGAAATTATTTCAGTTGAGTTGACTAAAAGTAGATATTGCAGTCAAGAAATTAAGTGATTAATTAAGTGATTGTTGAGCATTAGTGATGATGAACACCTGCTGTTAACATCACTGAAACACAAGAACTACAACTGACTTCCAACCACAACATTAGATGAAATCAACTGAAGATAAAATATGTTTAAGTCTCTCAAGATCTCAGCGGAGGCATATAAAAAATAAATAAAAATCAAAAAATGTATTCTCGTTTTTTTTATTTTTGTCTATTTAAATTCTATTTACAAACTCACCACACACAAAAATGGTCAATAACTGTAATTTGTTGAAAGCTAATCTTTTTCTGAAAAAGATGACACCTTGCACATGAAGATGGCACATTGTTTTAGAATTTTACAGTCAAAAAATCAAAATATGTGAAAAACGCCTATTTTAGCTTCAGGTTCTAAAGGGTTAATTAAGTGAGTAATTAAGTGATTGTTGAGCATTAGTGATGAACACCTGCTGTTAACATCACTGAAGGACAGAGAAACACAAGAACTACAACTGACTTCCAACCACAACATTAGATGAAATCAACTGAAGATAAAATGTTTAAATCTCTCAAGATCTCAGCGGGGAGGATTGAACAACTCCACAAACAGCATTACCAGCTTCACTTATTACTAACCAGTTTGAC